GTCGAGTCTCGGCCTCGTTGAATCGCCGATGTCGGAATGTATGGCCCGGCTGCTTTAAACGCAGGTTGGACTCATTCGCGAAGAGTCAGTCACAGAGTTCGATGCTTTGCTTGGCTGCAGTTTTTTAGCCTCTTATCGTCTCGCTATCTGTTACACGCTACTGATTTGCTGCAGTTAATGTTCGCGGAAATGAAATCCTTTATCATGTTCGATACTTTATCAATATTCCATCCTCCGTCCCATCCAATCCATCCATCCATCCATCCATCATTCCATCCATCCATCCATCCATCCATAACAATCCATCCATCCATCCATCATCAATCCATCCATCCATCCAATCCAATCCATCATCCATCCATCCATCCATCAATCCATTCAGGCATCCCCACCATCATCATCTATATATCTATCTATCTACTAATATATCTTAATCTTTATCTCATCTATATACTTATATATATGATATGTGTGCTTGGCGCCGCGCGCACCGTTCTGTATATACGATACTTCTATACTGTTGACATTTCTCTTTGTCAATTTCGTGGCTCTAAAGTCTTCTTTTACCTCTACAATATATATTATCTCCACTCCCCCACCCACTCTCTCTCTCCTGCTCTCTTCTCAATTCTCCATCGTTATTATCATTACTGGCTGTCTCTGGTTTCTTTAGCCATGTACAATATATTGTGCCGTACATCCTTCACGGGAATCACCGTTTCCGAGGAAAAGATGAAGTTTAAACGTCACCGCTACCGAAGACTGGCCACCATACTCGTTAACAGCTAAGGAGTTGCAGCTCAGGTACGGCAAACTACAGTAATTAATAATAATAATAATAATAATAATATCAGTAGTAGTAGTAATTAAGTTATAAGATGACTTGTGCAACATGACCAAGCATATTTCCCGTTAGTTCACATTTTAGAAATTTTAATCATATTTAGTTATGAGGTATAGGAGTAATAGCAATTATTAATTAATTTAATTTCGCTCATTATTTCCGTATAATCTGTTTCATATTTACGTGATCAGAATTATAAAACGATGTTGTGTGTGTATATAATAATATATATTTATTATATATAGCTACTATCAAAGAGCGTCTAATAAGCACTATATGTACGGTTACCACTCGCCTGTATGCATGCGCTTACAGGGGTAGGATGTGATTAGCTAACTTCACCGTGGACAAGGAATCCAGTACCCTGCGGAAACACGAGCGCGTCAAGGCAACTATGTTCAGATCATGACGCGAACAGTGGCCGCTCTGGTGGGCAAAGCATCATCACCGCGTTACGGCGCGCCTCCCTTCTTCTTTCGCCGATCGTTTGAGGCGGTATATTTCTTTCTCAAGCCTTCACTACGGGTTCTTCCACCCGTTGGTCATTTATCCGTGTGTCGTTCTTCTCTCAGGAAGAATTCCTGAATACTTACGATCAATAACTTCGCTTTTCTTCGCTTCTCTCGGCGATCTTTACAGCGTATATATTTTTTCTCAAACCTTCTCACGACGCTCCGCCGCCCCGGTTGATAACCATTCGTAGTGTTCGTTCTTTCTGCTCAGGAAGGAGTTCAGAATACTACGATCAACTAAACTATTATCGCATGGAGAGAAATTTACGCACCGCTACGGACGTCGAATCTCCCGTCTTACAAGCTCGGCTCCGACTGTCTCGATCGAGACCAAAGTCGTCAAACTGCTTACTTCCACTCAGGGTGATGCGAGAGCGGCAGAGACGGTCGTACATGTACAATGCGGCATTTCAACGATATATATTCCCTCCTAGAGGAGATGAGGGAGGAGAGGTCCGAGCGATGACCTAAGCATTTATACGTATTATTATAATTCGTATAAATGTTTATATATAATTACTATATAATTTAATTTATTTTAGTCGTTACAAATACGTTCTTAAGAATTATATGTATAATTATAATTATTATATAAATAATTGGCAGAGAGAGGCGAACGGCTAATTTAATTTGACGCCTCAGTAGTTATCGTAAATTATTAAAACGCCGTACCGCTTGAAATGGTTTGGATTTTTGTACATATTTTGCACGGGAACGAGTTTATACTGCGTGTATGTCAGCGGAGTTTTCCTCTATATAACCTGAGAACAATATATAATTGGTATATGCTGTATATGTATTATATATATCGTTCTATATATGAGTTTCCTCATATATAACGAACGCTCCTGTTAGTGTCGTGTAATAATTTGGTATTCGTCGCCAGATCGACGCTACGCCAGTGCGAGCTCACGCGAGGTCTAGTAGGACGATCGTACCTCGTCAAACAGCTCGTTTCTCTCCGGTCTGTCCGACAGTGTCGCACGCCCGAGGAGAAGGCGGCAATCGTCGACGCCTTCTGTCCAGAGCTGACGAGGGACGACGTCGCGAGGAATCCGAGGACTGCCATGGATTACGTACACCGTACACGCACCTGCGAAACTGGAGGGAGTATCATATATATATATATATATTATATATATACACGCGCGAGGCGAACTGTCGTCTCTGTTTTATAGCCGCATGTTGTTATCATTATTATCTGGTGATGTTGATTAAAACTACTGGCGGTGTGCGTGTGGGCGCCGAGGTGAAGTGTATCATCCCTGTTATTTGTTTGAACTCAAGCGATTATTTTATTTTTACGTATGGGCGGTTCGTAATCACGCACTCTACAGGGAGGAAGGTCACCGACAGTAATCACGCACTCTACAGGGAGGAAGGTCACGACAGTAATCACGCACTTCTACAGGGAGAAGTCACGACAGTAATCACGCACTCTACAGGGAGGAAGGTCACCGACAGTAATCACGCACTCTACAGGGAGGAAGGTCACCGACAGTAATCACGCACTCTACAGGGAGGAAAGGTCACCGACAGTAATCACGCACTCTACAGGGAGGAAGGTCACCGACAGTAATCACGCACTCTACAGGGAGGAAGGTCACCGACAGTAATCACGGCCCACTCTACAGGAGGAAGGTCCCACCGACAGTAATCACGCGCCCACTCTACAGGGAGAGAAGTCACCGACAGTAATCAACGCACTCTACAGGAAGGAAGGTCACCGACAGTTTTTAGCGGTGCACCGAGAAGAAAAATAACGCGGGAAATCGCGCCCGGGGCGACGTCGTCACGCGGTCCTGCTGTATGATCTTGGTACATGTGCGCATTTACGACACGCAACCCCGCGTGTGAGCGCCGCCTGTTACGCCCAGAAAGATTTCGCGCCAATTCCAAAGTTTCTCCAGCAATTCTAAAGTTTTTCCACCAATTCCAAAGTTTTCCCACCGATTCCAAAGTTTTCCCACCGATTCCAAAGTTTTCCCGCCAATTCCGAGAATGGAAGCCTTTCGGCGTGTGCACTAAAATATATACATAAACATCGTGACACGTACACATCCACGATCACACCCCCTCCCCATATTCTAGCATCTCGTATAATGGTACGTGCGAGCGGAAGAAATGGGAACGAGACGTACGATTTTTGCGAATTTTTGTGTCGTCTGCGTCGTCGTCCAACAATACATCCGGCGCACGCGCATTCGAACGCGCCCGCCCGTGTGCATTGTTGATGTTGATGTTATCCACCTTGACATACAAGCAGCGGCGTGGCTGCGTTCGTGTAAACACGCAGGCGCGGGCGCGTTCCACTCTAGCGGAGCTGCGAGGAGCGAGGAGGACAAAGTGCGGAGGTTACGGTGATGTTATGGCAACACGGGGCCCTGTTCGCGTCTCATTCACGCGTGCACCCGCCGTCTGTAGTCTGCAACAGACTCGTCTATACTGCCGCGCATGAAGCCTGAGCAAATATCTGGTGTCTATATATATACTGAACTGCTGTGAGACCTGGAGAAAGATGGCCTACGCCGCAGTCCGAAGCCTGGTCTATACTGCTGTGTGAAAGCTAGGGAAAGCTGGTATATATTCTCGTACGAAACCTTAGCAAAACCTGGTCTCTGTACTACCGTGCAACCCCTGGGAACATTAGCCGCTGACCCTACACGGATACATCACGGAGCTAGTTGTCGTACGGAATGGCAACTCCCGTGTGCCTCGATGATTTTGAGAAGTACGCCGAGGCGCACCTATCGCGTATGGCGTGGGACTACTTTAGCTCCGGCTCCTTGGAGATGACCACCGTTGCCGAGAATCGTAAAGCATTTCACAGGTGAGAGCTAAATATGGTGAGAGCTAAATATGGTGAGAGCTATATAAGGTGAGAGCTAAATATGGTGAGAGCTGATGAGAATGTAGAGGGCAGGGCGGGGCGGGGGTCGAAGGAGCGAGAGAGAGAGAGTCGAAGAGAGGGAGCGGAGGGTCAGGACGGAGAGAGAGGCGTGCAGAGAGAGGAGCTGCGAGCGGAGGAGGGGAAGAAGCGGGTGAGAGAAGGGCGAGGGGAGAGGAGCAGAGGGGTGAATGAGAGAGGGAGCCGAGAGGAGGAGAGAGAAGAGGAGAAGAGGTGAAGAGAGAGGAGCGAGGATGAGGAGACGAGAGGGACGAGAGAGGATGAGCCGAGGGAGGAGGGAGAGGGGTGAGGAGACAGGGAGCGAGGAGGAGAGAGAGGGGTGATGAGACGACGGCGGAGCGAGGAGCGGGAGAGAGGGGGGGGGGTAGCAGAGAGGGAGCGGAGGAGGATGCAGAGAGAGCAGGTGAGAAGAAGGGCAGCGAGGGAGAGAGAGGGCGTGAGAGAAAGAAAGGAGCGGAGGAGGAGCGAGAGGGTAGAGAGAGGAGCGAGGAGGATGGCGATCGGATTATTTTGCCGTGGTCGAGTTGGTTCCGCCATGGTGTGTGTGGGGTGTGTGTGTGTGTGGGCGTGGTGTGTGTGTGCTGTGCGCGCGGCCGTTGTGTGTGCGTTGAGTTCGTGTGTGGTGTGTTGAGCGGTGTAGTTGTTATGTGGCTTGTGTGTGGACCGCGGGGGGTGGACCGGGGTGCGGGTGTGGTGTGTGTGTGCGTGTCAGGGG